ATAATTCCCAGTTTGAGCAGTTAGATCAACTGTAAGAACCCAACCATTTGTAACAAAACCAAATTCTACTTCTAATAATAATACTATTTCACTCACATCTAGCCAACGCTTGTAATACTGTTTCTATTGGAAAAATATGTTTCCACTTTCTTTTTGATTGAACTCAGAGTTAGGAGCTAGGCAGAGTTAGGCAAAGGTGGGTAGAGGGAAGCTTCCTGGGAACCCCAGAAAGTGGTTCTGTGTGTTAGTCCCCAAGTGTTAAACACTCATGCTGTCTGTCTGTGGATCACTTGAGCTGTTTAAAAGATGTCATTTTTTTTTCCTGTTTACTTCTAGTCAGCACTAGTCAATTGACTTCCATAATTAGCTTACCGTTTTCATAGGGAGGAGAGCACTGATACCTTTACTGTTTGTTAAAAGGTGTACAGAAAAAAACTAATTGGAAGTTGGAAAGTTGTGAGATTAGTTTTTAAAAGAAGAAATTATTTTCTTGGGAAAAGATGTATATATTTATAAGAGTTAACTTTTTTTATTTGGCTTCAGATGTTGGAAGGTCCTTGTCGTTGTCATTCTGAACATTAACAGCTCTTATCTTCAATTCAGGATATATTCAGGAACTCTCGATTTTTAATTTGTTCTAAGTATATTACCGTCAACTTGTTTTATTGCTAATCTTCTTTTAACTTTCTTTTGAAGGTGTATCTGGGAGAAAATCAATTTAGTTACATCTCAGTTAAAGGAAGTTATTTTTGTTTTTAAAAACTTGTTCTACATCTGTGGCTACAATTTTCTGGAGACATAATCTTCCTTGATTACACGTAGCTCTCCTTATTCTACAAATTTGTACATTTAAAGTATGCTATTTAATACCTTAGTTTACCATTTTATATAGTTTTTATTTTTTAATTTTTTAGACAGGGTCTTGCTTTATTACTCAGGCTGAAGTGCAGTGGCATGATCACAGGTCACTGCAGCCTGGAATTCCTGGACTCTCCTGCCTCAGCCTCCTGAGTAGCTGGGAGTACAGGTGTGCGTCACCACACCTGTCTAGCACGTTCTCTTCTAAATAGTTGTAGTGCTTGCTTTGAAGTCAGTTATGCAGTCAGATCCCATCTCAGCCTCCTGCTGGGTTATGTGGATGACGGTCAGGCTCAAAGACGTTGCATAACTTCCTCAATTTCCTTGTAGTAAAACTAGGAGTAATGTCTGTTGTAAAGTTGTAGTGAAAGTTAGATGGAAAATGTCTAGCATATGTTATTGCTATTTATAGCAGCTACCATTTACTGTTCAGATATTCTATTCTCTACCCTCCACCCTGCCACCATCCATAGCGCAGTGCGCATGTAGCAGGCCCTCTGAGTATTTTCTGTTGTCACATTTGTCACATGTTATCTTGGAGAAAGCCGTATTCAACTCCCATGCAGAATTGTGTGCTTCGTGGACCTATCTCACTTTGTGTCAGGGTAGTTTGCCTGCCCTGACGGTGCTTTGCGGTGTGGCTCCGGTTTGAATCTCCCTGTTCTATCAGTGTGCTCTATACATGACAGGCTTTCCATAAATGTTCACATTAAAATTATCACCCGGGAGCCCAACCTTTTGGGGACTTTTAAAAACAGCAACATTTTGTGTTATTCACTTAATAAATTCATACTTGGGGAAAAAATGAGTCTTTGGTTTTTTTTTGTTTCGTTTTGTTGTTTTCTTGGTTTTTTTAAGATGGAGTTTCACACTTGTTGCCCAGGCTGGAGTGCAATGGTGCCATCTTGGCTCATTGCAACCTCTGCCTCCTGGGTTCAAGCAATTCTCCTGCCTCAGCCTCCCAGGTACCTGGGATTACAGGCGCCTGCCACCATGCCTGACTAAAAATGAGTCCCAAATTCTTCTTGGCTTCTCTAGTATGTATGCTTAGGAAGCTTGAAGTTATTACATGCTGGCAAGATCCTGGGGCCTCAAAGAGATATTAATACTCATTGTTGTATCCGAGACTTTGGAAAATGTATGCTGATATAAGTTGTAAAAACTTTAGACTTGTTCTTTTTTTTTTTTTTTTTTTTTTGAGATTGGGTTTTACTCTCACCCAGCAGGCTGGAGGTGCAGTACTGTGATCACAGCTCATTGCAGCCTCAACCTCCCGGAATCAGATGATCCTCCCACCTCAGCCTCTGGAGTAGCTGAGACTATAGATGTGCACTGCCAGGACTGGCTAAATTTTTGTAGTTTTCATAGGAATGGGGTTTCACCATGTTGCCCAGGCTGGTCTCAAACTCCTGGCTTTGCCCATCCCCCTGCCTCAGCCTCCCAAATTGCCGGGATTTTAGGCACAAGCCACCGTGGCAAGCCTTAGACTTGTTGATTTTTAAATTGGTTGTTACGGGTGCACATCTGTAATTCTATATAACGCAATGCAGTTTCTCAAAATATGGTGAACTAATTTGGAGTTTGACAAGCTGCAACTTAGTTGACATTCACCCAATTCAAGGCCAGGTTTCAGAGCTTCTCTATACTGGACTCTATTCTCTATGGTGAAAAGCCATAGAGTAGTTAGAGCAAGTAATACTTGCAGAATATTACCAATACAGGCAATAGCTGTTACGTAGGTCAGGCTCTGAGCAGGGCAGGATCCTGCATTCTGGTCCTTAGCATTTGAACATAGGACTGTGGCTTCCTCGGGTACCTTGGATTGAAATCAGATGGAAAATATAGTCAAATCATTTGAGATTTTTCTCTTTTAATTTCCTATTCCCCTTATCATTATAAAACATGTATTTTTTCACTACACATTCTCAGTCTTTTTGAATTTTTTTTCCTGTAGTTTTACCTGTTATACTTTCCTCGTCTTGTCTTTTCTTTTCTTCTTTCTCTTTTTTTGAGACAGTTTTGCTCTTGTTGCCCAGGGTGGAGTGCAGCGTTGTGATCTCAGCTCACTGCACCCTCTGCCTTCCTGCTTCAAGTGATCCTCCTGCCTCAGCCTCCCGAGTAGCTGGGATTACAGGTGCCTGCCACCACGCCCAGCTAATTTTTGTATTTTCAGTAGAGATGGAGTTTTACCATGTTGGCCAGGCTGATCTCGATTTCCTGACCTCAGGTGATCCACCCACCTCAGCCTCCCAAAGTGTTAGGATTGCAGACATGAGCCACTGCTCCCGGCCCTCCTGTCTTTTCAACTTCAATTTCTGTATATGAAATGTGAAACCTGTACAAATATAACAAAGATAAATGTTTTACAATAAATTATTACTAATTTTTTATGTTGGGGAGATGTCTTTCTCTTCAAGCAGGCAAATTTTAGTGCTTTGCTGATACTGTCAGCCATAGTAGAAATGTTTAAAAGGCCTTACTTTCAGAGTGATGGCTTCTTAGTAGAACTGGGGTGGGGTCTTCCTCTGTCTAGCAGAGCGCACTTCTCTGCCATGGCTTAGGTGGAAGTGGTGTGGGCATGTGTGCTCCTTGCAGCTGCAGTACCCATGTGTTCTTGTTTCAGGGCTTTGCTGCTTTTCACTTAAAGGGCTCATTTAGAATAAATCAATGAAAATAAATGTGTACATATGTGCACACCTGCACATACATTTATATGGATGAAATTTGCTGTTGGTGCTTTTTCATTTCTCAGGTCTTTGAACTATGCCAAAAAAGCATACTGCTTTACCTTAAGGGTTTTGTTTAATATTGTATTTTATATTATTCTGTAGGAGATTTGAAGAAATTTAGAAATAGGGCATCTTCCCTCGTATATTTCACCATTGGGTAAAACAACATTTCCGAAACAAAGTCTCTCAGTTTCTGTACCTCCTTCTACTCAAGGTTCCTGGTTCCCTCCTCAGTAGTACTGTGTTCTCAGACTGCCAAGCCAGGCACTCTAGCTGCTTCTCTCTGTGTTCTGTCTTGTCTTTCAGTATGGTTTGGTGGAATGAGTGCTAGACACAGTAGGGAAATCTGAATTCTTAAGCTGGCTTTGTTCAAGTGATTTCAGCTTTATCATTACTCATTCCCAAGAACTTAGGAATAGCCTATTTCCTACCCCTAAACATCCTCAATCTTTTGTGTCTTTGTATGACTGTGCTTCCAGGGGAAGGCCTGCCTTCATATGGCACCTGCCGGAGTGGCCAATCTTTCACCCCCACCCCTGCAACACCCTCTGTTGATACTTCTAGGCATGAGATTATGGAACCGCTGGCATCATTCCTGGGTCATCATCGGGGCAGAGTTAACACTCAACAATCCTGATAGTCCCAAAAAAGGGGCAAATTCTTATTAAAGCCCTTGTATTCCAGGTGTGGGTCTCCCGATGCAACGTGAAGTCAAAATCAGACATGTGTTCGCAATTCACCCCTTCACCAGGCACTTTCTGTGTGTTGAGCACTTCAGCTAGGTGTTTACTCTGGATGACAAGATATGGGCTTGGCCAACCCTGATGAGGGCGACCTCCAATTGTAGACTGGCAACATTGCCAAGCACCCCCTACGACTGTGACATGATTCCAAAACACAACCTGTGTTGGTACTAACTTGTTTCAGAGACTGGTTCTAGAGTCTTAATTATTTAGTGAGACTTTCTGAGGAAGTGGGTTTGGATCCTTTACGGGATGTTTTTATAAACAGTATAATTCTCTTAATATATGTGGAAATAATGATGTCACACCTTTTAAGCGTGTGAAAACTGCATTTTCTTGTTGCGTCTTTTAAAGGACATTTCCTTTCAGTTTATTATCAATTATGTATAGCATCTCTACCTGGAGGAGATGAGATACTACAGATTCTTGGTCAGTATGGCAAACACTAGTTTTTGAAGAGAAATTTTAACAAAGGGAGTGTTTTCAGAAACTTTACTGGATTCCTTCTTTTTTTAAAATGAGTAATTATGGTCCTTACTTTAAATTTCAAAGGTATTGAAAATAGTTTGGGCAACTATTTGCAATGCCCAAGATTCTGTTTAATATGTAGTTATGTCATTGGGATTTGTGGATATATAGAATTTTAATTAATTGTTATTTTTAACTACAGGAGCTCTTACCAAAGTCAAGGAGAGTAGGCGACACGTGGAGGAAGGGAAGATGGAGGTGCAGAAGGCTGACGGCATTCAGGATCGCTGTAACACTATTTCTTTTGCCACTTTGGCTGAAATTCACCACTTCCATCAGATTCGAGTAAGAGACTTTAAATCACAGATGCAGCATTTCTTACAACAACAAATAATATTTTTCCAAAAAGTTACCCAGAAGTTGGAAGAAGCTCTTCACAAATATGATAGTGTTTAATGACTGGACATTGGATTGTGGACTTTTTCAGTTCAAGGATAATTTCTACAGCAGAATAAAAACTGCTGTCAAAGAGCTATTGCCAACTATCAGTGGTGGTACAAGGACGGTTTTGTGTTCAACTGAAACCCAGCTGAATTTATAATTATGTAGGAAATAAACAGTTAATATGGTTATATAATAGAAACAGTACCACACATTGTAACTAAATTATACTATGTATGCCTACACTACCATTGTAACTTTTGGAATAATGATTATACTATTTGCCTTATTGCTTTTTGAAGTATGGGTATTTTAGTGCATACTTTGTAGACCTCAAAACCCATGAAGGGTCTCAAAGAAGCTGGCTGGATAAAAGCCTGCTGTGGATGCCTTTTTACTCTCATAGATTGGGATTACCTAAATTCAACCTATTCTCTGTTTACAAACTCCAACTAGAGCAGCTATGCGACCTTGTGCCTTTAGACTCTTGGTTTTTCATTTCTCCCCGTCCCTTCCCCACCTTTTTAAAGTAAGCCACAGCTTTTCTGATTGAAAGAGTGAAAGGCCAGTGCATATAATGACAAACTGATGATAACCTCATATTGGCAGTAGGGGATGGGGTGGGGTGGGAGGATCAGCTGTCATCAATTTGCACAGCAAGTATTATCTCCTGATAACATGCTGGTAAATGCAGGGGAGTGAGATTTATTGCTCATCTTTGGATATGAAGTCTATTAGGGAAGAAATGGTGCCACTATTCCCTTAGATGCAACAGTAGCATAGCCTCTTCACCCAGGTGTCCCAAAAGCTTGGCGTGAAGATTTCAGCAAATATGTCTTACAACATGAGGAGGAGGAGTCTAAATCAGTCAGGGGATAAAAGTATCGAATCATTGACAACACACACTTGGCTTTAGTTCTTAGGAGGGTTTTGTTTTTGTTTTTAGCTTGAAGATTTCTTTTAATATTCAGTTTTTTAAAAAAAAAATGGATCTACACTGTTAACTGATTGAGACTCCACTGTGATTCACTCGTTTACTTAAAAACTTTTCAGGGATGTCTGTAAATTTCAGTGTTATATGTTATGAAAAGTGGTGTTGATTGATCTAAGGAGGGACCAGAAATAATTTTTGCTATTCCAAATACTGAAGGAAAAAGATAATTGATTTATACTATGTTTAAAAAAAAAAAAAAAAAAAAAAAAAAAAAAAAAAAAAGGTCTTGATGAGCCCCCGCAGGACATTTAACCTTAAAATTTATTTTAAATATATTCTTTTATTATTATAAGGGAAATACAGATGGCTGATAAATACCAAAAAGATTCAAAAGCAGCTTAATTTAAAAAGCACAAAGAGATTCTGGCTTACAGTGCCCCAATCTCAATGTTTTTATAGTTGCTGAGCTAACTAATGTGATTATTGAGTTTACAGATTTAAAAACTGTCACTGTTACAGTATCTACTGTTTTTATGAAGTCAAACTTATGCTGCCTCAGAAATCCCTGGGTACTGAAATGGTAACACAGAAGTGAAGAGGTCACTTTGAAATATCGGTGAGTCACAAAGATTAAAGAAAAGGATCAGTTTGCAGATACTCAGTAAAGGTTATTGAAATAATTACTGAACAGCACATTTACTCTCTAAAAAGTAGTTTCATATGGGTTGAATTTTTAAGATCAGATTATCATTTTGATATTTGGTCAAAATTTTGTACCTTAGGTTACTTAGAGCCAGATTTAACATCATGAATGTTATGTGGCTTTGTCTTTACTACAGATATGTGGAACTGTAACCAAATATATTGTTCTCTAAAGCTTGTTGATTGCAAAATACAGTTCTATAAACAAAACCCATATGTATATATAAATGTTAATTTTGCAGAAGTCTGGAAATTATAGCATTTAAGTTTGAGTCTGTATTGGACAGATAAGCACCATGCTTTTCAAATGATTTAAAAATTACTTTTATTTGCCTCTTTATTTTGATGGTGGTTTGATTTTTTTTTTTAATAGTAAAATCACTAAACTTGTGCAATGGTAGCATGGAAATTATCTGAGGTATATTGTATGATTGTACTTTAGCCAGGGTGGACATAGCTTAAATTATAAAAACTAAAGATGAAAGTATAAGGAAGCATAAGTATAAGTTATACTTATATAAGTATAAATTCATGCTGCCTACTTCTAAGAGAACTTTCATTCTTCATAACCACATAACATTATAATGCCACTGATTCATAAGGGGTTTACATTAATTCTATGGGGGAGGACACTAGAATTATTAGTGTTCATTTTCATCTAAGATTTTTATTCTCTAACGTTCTTGGTCCTATTGAAACATTGCAGTATGCAAAACTACTGCAGTGTTAAACCCGAGAGAAAAGCCATTATCATGTGTATGCTGGTCATCATGATCAGTGTGGTACAATTTTTTAAAATAAACTATCATGCCCTTCATGCCATTATTTGTCTTTATTTCTATGATTTGTAATCCTGATATGTGATGTGTTTGTAACACAGGGTGTGCACTTGAGCCTGGTTTTGCTGTTTTATTTAGGCAGAGTTGTTGATGTGCTGTAACTGTAATGCAGCGAGACTGGTTCTACAGCCATGCGGTGTGACCTCGTTCCCCATCCAAGCTGTTGTATATGAAGGTACCTACCCAGTTTGTGCCCAGAATGAGGGAACGCATTTGAAAGCGAAACGTAAAGCCGGTGCATGAATATTATAGTGATTGAGATTTTCCCAGGCTTCACTGATACAGTTGTTTTGCATTTATTCACAATAATACAGCAGATTCTTACATGCCGATATTTAATTGTCTTAAATTTTGCTGCTGTTCTCATAACTAAGGACTTGAAAAATATTTGAGTCTGTCAAGTATGTAAAGTTTGTGTATAAACTTTTAAATGTCATTCTTAAGTTCATTGCCATAGCCATTTTCCATTTATGTCTTCATTTTCTAAAAATCAAATGCCATGTCTGGTACCTTTAAATCCATAAGCATTCAGTTTTCTCATTTCCAATTTCATCTTTGGTTAACAGAATAAGTAAAACAGGGTTTTATTTATTTGTAGTCTAGAAATGTTGAATATTGTTTTATTTCTTTCAGAATGTTATGATTAGTGCAGATCAGCCATGTTTATCTTTTTAAAAAATAAACAGGTTGCTTTATTTCTGAGCTTCAATGGAATATTATAATTATTTTTTCTCCACTTGTCAAGGAGGCACTTATTTAATGTGAAGAATTACACAAAAAAGTAGAAGAGCATGTTCTCTGTCTCGAGCTTCATCTGTGGTTACCATAGAAATTATTCATCAAACACTGTAGCTAATTTGATTAATTTAAAACCGTAGTTATTCAGATAGTGCCATGGAGTATCTGCTTACATTAGTGACATCAGGAATTAAGCACATAGCAGTAAGTTGTGAGTGAGAGGTTTTGAAATAGTAGCTCCCATGAGTCCAACACCTGAGACAGAAGCAGGTGCTTGAGTACTTCACATACTGTCTGTTGGTTGCCATAAATAGGCAAACTCCAACACACATAAGCCAAAATATTATGGCTATGGGACCTGGCAAATCTTGCAAGGGGCCAAAGTCCCATTTGACAAAGCTTGCCCTCTTTGTGGGGCTTTGTAGTCTTGTATCTGCTTATCTTTACAGATTTGTTTTACACATATATATTTTTTCTCCTGGCCTGCCTTTCTTATCATCTTGTAATGTCTAAAATGGCCTAGCCATCTTTTAGTTCACAGATATACTTGGACCAGTGATGGACATCTGGACAAATCACCTTTGGTTTGGGGAGGCTGTGAGAAGGAAAGGTACACTTAAAAGTATGCAAGAGAAGAAAGGACATGACTGACACCTCTTAAGATGACCTTTGTCTGGTCATCCTCACAATGAAGCTATGAGGAAGATAATATCTCTAGTTTATAGATGAGTTAAAGAGATCAGTGAGGTCTAGTTTCTTTTGACCAAGATCACACAAACTAAATGACAGAGCTAAGATTCAAATTGGGATCTGGCTGAAGCCTATTCTTTTTAAACTAGATTACACTGAATGCAATTTCTCTGCTTTTCAGAAATCCCTAATATCTTCCCAAGTCTCCACTGCCGGAATGATAGGGATTCCATCATTCTTTGGGCACTGGGCACAGAAGTACAAAGGGAACTTCCCAGAATCTGCTGTTTGCACCCATTTCTGCTGGAAAAGCTGAGAGTCTGTGCTGCTGTGCTGGGTCTGTCAGCAGAAGGGCTGACTGCAGTCTTACATAGACTGGGAAGCGCGCCAGATGTTACCTTCCAGTATTGTTACGAAGAGTGAGAGAAAGGGTCCAAAACTGACTGTTTCCCCTTCTCTCCAGCTTCCACCTCCATGCAATGACAATAGAAGCACATTCCAGTTGCCGTAAGAATGGCCTTGGCAGAACCACAGGTCGAAAGTTTAACTCCAGTTGGTCAGAGTCAGGGTTACTCATGAGTACCACTTGGTCACAGGTGGGACTCAGGTGACAGCAACAGAGAATTTGCTGAGAAATGAGCTCTGGAGAGTTTGAAGAGTGGCAGGGTAGACTTCTAGGCAGTGTAGAGAGGGATGCTGCTGTGCTAGGGCTCCATGGGCAGGAAACTAGAAAAACCCAGCAGTGGAAGCCAGGCCTCTGAGGTGGGGGAAGTTAATCTGGGATTGGCTCATGGCTATAGCCTTTCCAGGGATCACAAGTCTTCCCTACTTGGCCCTGATCCCAGAATGTCTCAATCCTATCATCCCTGTGTCAGAGCTTCTCAAACTGCCTGCCTGTCTTAAAGGCCATTTCAGCTTCATTGGGTGACTTGTACCAGAAGCATGCCAAAGGCAATACCAATTGTCCATTTGAAGCCACCTTCAAGGGAGCTTAAAAACACGGTGTGTGGTATTTTGTTGCTGTGTGTCCCATCAGCCTACCCTGGAATTGATCTGTAAGTTTGAAGTGGCCAGATGCATTAGACCTTATTTTTGCAGTGGTTTAAATTTGCTGTCACTCCAGGAAATGGCTCTCAGGATGGAATTGCTGAGTTGTTGAGCTTCTCTGCAAGCTGAGCCAGCATATCAGTGAGAAAGGCAGCAATTTGGAGCCAGAGACCTGGGTCAGATCCTAGTTGCTCCACTCTCTGACCTCAGGCAACTCACTAACCCAGCTCTGACCTTCAGTTTCCTCAATTGTGTGATTGACTGACTTAGATTGTATTGAATTCTGGAGGGTATTAGATTAACCACCATGTGAAGCCTTAACCATTTTGCAATACTCCCTCTGCGACAAACATGGGAGATGATAACAATTTTAGAAGTAGGTACTTAGTAAAAGTTCTGTTCCTGAACATCATGTGACCATGTGCTAGTGACTTAACCTGAGTCAGTTTTCTTATCTATAATGGGGTATACAGTCATCCCTCAGTATCTGCAGGGCATTGGTTCCAGGATACCCCAATCCCACCCCACTCCCTGCAGATACCAAAATCTGTAGATGTTCAAGTCATAGAATGGCATAATATTTGCATATAACCTATGCACATTCTCCTGTATACTTCAAATCATCTCTTTATTCCTTGTCATACCTAATACAGTGTGAAGGCTATGTCAGTAGTTGTTACACCGTTGTATTTTTATTGTATTTTTTTGTATTGTTACTCCCTATTGTTTGAGGGATTTTTTTGGAATATTTTCAATGGTCCATTGGTTGGATCCACAGATGTGGAACCCACAGATACTAAGGGCCAACTATACAATCCCCTTTGTGGACATATTATGAGAAATGAATGGCAGGTGGAAAGCCCTGAGCCCAAGGCATTGACAGTATGGAGAGAGTAAAGACCCTCTGTGGTTATGTGAGAAAGGGAGAGCTGCAGGATTTAAATAATAAGAACACTGTGTCAGCTGTGCTTTGGAAAATTAAGGAGTTCACCCTTGGGTCCCAGGTAGGCAGAGGTTCCTGCATTAGCCCTGGTAACTTCACCTTCTGCCCACTTTGCCCACCTGGGTCACAGGACCAAACCCCATTCCAGCTTCCTGTCTTGCAGAGCCCTGGCACAGCATCCTTCTTACTCTGCCTGGAAACCTACTTCTCCACTGCTGCTCAGACCCACCAACACCTCCTGTTAGGGTGGGGAGGGGCTCAGCTCTCCAGAGATAGCCCTTTGCAGCAAGGCTCCCCCTTGGTCTCCAAAAGCTAAGTGCTAATATGTTTAAGAATTTGTCCTGTAGCTCTAACTAGGAATATCTGAAAAAGACAGTTCAGAATTTGTCTTTATTCACCAAATTAATAGTGATTTTATTGAATTCTTTTTACATCCTAAAAATATGTACTTGAGACCTAGGACAGAGAGAGGCAGCCTACTCTATGTTCACTATCCCAGCCCTGGCCTCGTGTTAGATACAGACGTTGTAAGATGATGGTCAATGTGTCACTCTGGGAAGTTGAATTTAGTGCCTCTGAGTGGCTTTTGCAGCAGCCATGCCTTGAATCAAAATATTAGCGTAGACCAAGTTTGATTAGGCAACTTGTTTGTTCCACTTTTGTTCAACCCAGCAGTTTTAAAAGAATGCAGAGTCTTAGTTCAAAATAGTTCCTTTTGCATGAAAAATCTTTAAAATATTGGAGTGCAGTTTAGGATTTACCAAATTAAGGTTCAGCTTAAAGCTGATGATGCTTCTGTTGGTGTTTGTTCAGAATCTGTATTTTTAGTCACTTTTTAAAAAATTACTTGGCTGCTGTTTGTGAACTCTTGTAAGCCAACTGAGTTACCTAGATGCTAACTACATATTCGCATGTGGCTGTAACCTCCCGAGAGTGTCAAGTCCGTAAGTCTGTGTTTCCTGCATGAAACGAAGGACTTATGGGGAAAGTGAAACCTGTAATTCCAGAGTAAAGGAGCTTTCTTCACAAATGTTGCTTTTTTCGTGGCTCCTATCCCAGAATCAATGGAAAGAAAATTGGATCTTTTAGGTACTTATGCTGACAGGTCATCTCATAACAAATTTCTCAGCTTTCTGAAGGATTAAAAACTGTAGGTATCTATCATTAAAAAAAAAAAAAAAATGAGGAAGCTCTTCATATACCAATATAGAATTTTCCTAGGAAAAATTAAACAAAAAAAAAGAGGCAGAGAAATATTTATATGCTACCCTTTGAGTAAAACAAAGTGAATGTGTTTGCTTATATATGCGGTAGATGATTATTATTATTATTATTATTTTGAGATGGAGTCTTGCTCTATCGCCCAGGCTGGAGTACAGTGGCACAATCTCAGCTCACTGCAACCTCCGCCTCCCGGGTTCAAGTGATTCTCATGCCCTCAGCCTCCCAAGTACCTGGAATTACAGATGTCTGCCACCACACCTGGCTAATTTTTGTATTTTTAGTAGAGACGGTGTTTCACCATGTTGGCCAGGCTGATCTCAAACTCCTGACCTCAGGTGATCCACCTGCCTCGGCCTCCCAAAGTGCTGGGATTACAGGCATAAGTCACTGTGCCTGGCCTATGTGTAGATTATTTATGAAAGTAAATGCAGAAAATTAGTAGCAAGGCAACGTTGTTTGCTTTCAGGAATGGGAATGGGGACAGGAGGGAAACTTACTGTATTCCCTATTATCTCTTTTGAATTTGAACGATTGACTGTATTTCCTATTTTTAAAATAACGAAATAAATGTTAAATTTGACAAGGGGACTAGAAAAAAAAAATGTCAAAAGGTGGGTGGAGCTGCAGCTCTGTGCCAACTCCCTCGAGACCCGGCAGTGAATTATACAAGACACAGGAAGAACTGTCTTGTTTGGACAGTGGACTCAACGATCAAGTCAATCTTCATTGTGTTACTTTGCGAAAATTCAACAGCATTAGGAAATGGACTGTTAAGAGAATGTGTAATGTAGGCAGTAAAGACAGATGTCACTGGACCATAGTCTGTTGTTTTATATGGTACCAGGTATTCTTTTGTCTTCTGAACCAAAAATCCTTCTCCTCCCTTCCCTGTGAAGCCTTCCACGATACTCTCTAATCCCAGTGTCTTGTCTCTTCTCCGCCCTCCGATCACTTTTGTGATGGCATTTTGCAACTAATTACGTAACATCTTGGGCTAGTATCAGTTTCTTTGTCTTACCACATCGAGTGTTTATTTTGCTCTAGGAATGATAC